GTGGGTTTAAGCACACAATGGGTGCCATGGGCAGAAAAAAGGGGTGATACTGCTCTGTAGCAGTGAGTACCAGCACACACACAAAAACACTGACTATTAATTCATCTATTTTTATAGCATTCATTCATTGCTTACTACAAAAATGTCTGAAAGCGGCTTACAATGATAAAAAGCATACATAATAGAGAAATGTAAAATACCACAGAACGATAAAAGAACTTGAATGACTAAATGTGCCCCTCTTGCACCAACAGAAAAAGGATAAATCCTGCCTCATCCTGTTAAAAGATGAACACCAATGCAAGCTAGGGTATCATCATATCACATGACTCCAGTTAAAAGCCAAATGCCTGGATGAACAGGAATAGCACCTTAAAGTTGATAAAGATGTAACCAGGCACCTCTCTCCAAAGAGATCATTCTACAATTGGGAGCCACCACGGAAAAGGCCCATTTTTATGTTGCCACTCACAGAAGCTCCCTCGGGGGGGCACACAAATAAGGTCCCCCGATGATTGATGCAGGGTGTAGGTAGGTTCATGTGCGGAGAGGGAGTCCCTTCCCTGAGGTTTTGGGGTCCTGAGTCACAGAAGGCTTTATATGCCAAGACCAGCATTTTGAATCGAGCCAGGAAACTAATCAATGTAGTCTGCCATTGGGGTTATATGCTCAGATTTCCTACTTCCAGTTAACAATCTGGCTGCTGAATTCTGCACTAGCTATAGTTTCCAAACTGCTTTCGAAGGTAGCCCCCTGTATAATGCATTGAAGTAAAACAAAAGTATAGTCTGCACCTTGGAGGGGGGTGCATGTACCCCAAATCTATTCCTTTGTTAGAAACTCATTATTTTTATTTGCATTTTTTTAGAACTAATTCATCAGATCATAAAAAGTAATACTATAAACCTGTTTTCACAAGCACAGAAGTGGTGGTGCTAACATAGCTTCACCTCCTTATCCTGCCTTTTGATACTTGAGATGTGTGTTTTAAGAACCCACCTTATTTTTGTAATATTGTTTTCAAGATTTTTTGATATTGTGTAATATTTTTTATATATATTAATGTTGTGTTTTAATAGCTGTAACCTGCCCTGGAACCTTAGGCTGAAGGGCAGGTAATATTGCAACAACAACAACAATAATAGTAATAATAGAGGCCCAACTGGGATGGTTAAATTCTGCCCTGCCGTGAGAGATGCCATTTCTCTGAATCTATGCAAAGTGTCATGTTTATGCTTGCAGCTAACAAGAATAAAGTGATGGCTGGTACATACAGTTCATGGCCTTTACGTTAAGAAATAATGCCTTGAACGGATGCTTACAAGTTGGAATTAATTTGATCAAAATAAAGCTTGGGTGGATTTGGCCGAACTTGGAAGGAACTTTACAAAAAAGATGACATGTTGTGGATGTGCAAGAGAGGTGGAGAGAAGGATGGAAGGAGTTTAAGGTCAGATAGGTTGGGGTTCCTGTAAAACTGAGGTTGTCTATTGTTTTTGTTACATATTTTAGAGCATAAGGGGATAACTTGCATTCTGTTCCCAATCTCATTTTATGCAGCCTCCAACACCTCCTCAGTTTGCCCCATTTCCCCATCCCATCTTGATTTTTCCAGGTTTTTAAGATCGTTTCCCCCTTTCAGAACATTTAAAAGGGCCAGTATTTTATTTGAAAAATATTCATAAATTATATATTTAAAATTATTGATTGTGTGGCTTGGGGGTATTTTTCTTTCTTGCTAATTGTGCTGCTTTAAATGTGCATTTTATATTTGACTTCCTTTAGAAATGTTTAGATCATTTTTTTATTAACTTTGCTGTGTTAAATGTGCATTCTGTACATGATCACCTTAGTAGGATTTTATTTTGAAGTCTTTAAGATAATATTTAGTTTATACTAAATATAAACTAAATATTTTAGTTAATAATTTAGTTAATTACATTGCTTTGAATGTATATTTGGCTTTCTTCTGTAATGTTTCACTCTGTGTTGCTTCATGTGACATTTTAATGTATGTTGTAAACCACTTTGAGATTTTTATCTTAAAAATACAAAGTGGTATAGAAAGGAAAGGAATCATAATAGTAATAATAACAATAATAATAATAATAATAATAATAATAATAATAGTCCCCCCAGCTGCCTTTAACAAATGATTAGACTTCGAACCTCTCTCTCTCCCTACATAGCACATTACTGTCAGAAATTATTTCCACTTCTTTTTCAGAACACTTACAATGTGGTCAGAAAAAAAATGCTCTTTTTATGTATTTGACAGTAATCCATTAAGTTCACTAAACAGATGTTACTTTTGATCACACTTGCATTTGATTGGCAGAATTACTTAAATGTCGTTTTGTACAAATCCTATAGAAATTAATATTTCTTTATAGGATTAGAGTCTGTCAATTAGCGTTGCTTAGATTCTGTATGATGGTCACTAAGCATTGGGAATTGGCCAGTCCATAACAGCACTAGTAAAATCCTCACCTTACAATGAATAAAAACAGGGGAGGATTGTTCTGTGATCATGACACCACCTTGCAACAACCTCTCGGCACTCTCTTAACCAGAATGAGCTTTGTGTTGGTTTGTCACCATTTGGCATTAATGCGAAGACTTGTTCTCAAGGAACAATTGCGCTTACAGCTGATGGATGGAGCTGCCCAGCAGATCACTGTGAACTGCAATAACCTCACAGCCTTCATCCACTGCATGGCAGCTAAACAGCGTCGGCCAATGAAAGAATTAATCAGGTAAGTTGCTGTGTGTCCATTTGCTTCCATTCGTGCTTGCTTTCCTTATCTTGTTTACTGCTGCTGGAGAATGGCAGTGAATGTGTTATATAAATGAACAGCATCAAAAAGCAGCCCAGATATAAGCTGTAATTGCCATTGCCATATCTACTGCATTTTTATTTTATTTTATTTTATTCTGAGTCTTATTCTAAAGGTTGTTTTCATTATGAGAATAAGTTACAGGGATGCATTCAACTAACTTTTACTCAGCTGACCCACTGAAATAAATGGATCTAAGTTAGTCATGGCCATTAACTCTGATTGCTTTACTCTGAATAAAGGTTAGTTCAATGCAACCCACTGTTTCCTGCAAAAACCTACCTCTTAAGAAGCAAAATATAAGGCGCAGTAAGTTATCAAGTGCTATTAACGATTCCAGTATTTCGCTTTCTCCTCCTACATACTCAATCTCTTTCTCTCCCCCCCAAGCAGTTATTGCACTTGTTTCGTATAACTTTTGTTTTTCCTTATTATTGCACCAACATATTTTTTAAAATGACATATCCACAGAGCTTTTAAACTGATGAATTATGTTTAACAGTAGCCACTGTAGTAATACAAGAATATGTTGTTAAAGTGCATCATAACTTCCTATTCCCAGCTTTCTTTACCACTGAGCATAACTCCCATGCGTTGCAATTGTTCCCTCCACTTCTCTCCAGTGCTTATGCAATGGTCCTGAAGTTGTATTTCACTGCACATTATTATATGCCACTGGATAATTATTTTGAAGTTCCGTTTCCTAACGTTGCTCCTAACATGGCCAGAACAAATGCACATCCCTTGCTCCAAATGCTATCTCCACCTCTTCTAATTTAATTGCTCTTGTCATCTACGCAAACTTCTTCTGCCACAACATAAGATATTATGAAGATGTAAATACTCAAAATCAAGCCTTTCAATCAGGGATGGGAAAGCTGTGACCTTCCAGATACTGTTAGGCTCCAGCAGGGCTAACAATTGGGGCGATGGATGTTGTAGTCCACCTGAGTGGAAGCATGCATAAGAATAGATTGTAAGTCGCAATTATCATGTTGAACATTTAGAACTATGTCTCCCCCTTCCGTCCCTTTATTTTCTTCCTTTGCAAAAGCATCACTTGCCTCATCCCTAGCCAGTGTGCTGGTGATCAAATGATGACATACATACACCTGCCAACTTCACAGAAAATTTGCTTATTTTAAAATGGCATCTAGTGCTACCTTCTACAATACGAAATATCAGAAATAAAGAAAACAATCTAGTGCAACACACTACAGGTGCTAAAAGAGGTGGGTGGGGCCTTAACTCCAAAACTCTCAGCAATTTTTAAGTGAAGAAAAGGGTTTGGGAACCACGTCTTTGATACTTAGGTCACATACCAAAAACTTCGTTGTCCTCAGAGGGTTGCTGGGTGAGCCGGTCTGCTTTGGGGCTTGCTTTGTTTTCAGCTTCCTCCACTTTTCCTTCAGTGTTCTGAAAAAAATGTACATTACAAGAGTCAGCAAAGGAGCAGCTGCAAGAAATTCTTGTTCATCAGCAAATAGGCAATTCTTAATTTCTACAGAGAAATACACCAGGAGCCAGGCTCATGCTGCTTTGAAGTCTGACCTCTAATCCTAGAGAAGGGACAAAGTAGACTCTGTACATGTGCATAGACCCTGTTTATATCAATTCTTCACATGTGCTGGGGAGCCTAAAAACATGTCCAGAGGCTGACTCCTGGCTCAATTTTAAGCCCTGATTTTATGAAACTGACAGAAAGACATTTACTGGTGTCAGTTTCCGGCTCTCGTCATGGGTCAATGGTGGCCGCTGCTCGCTGCCCTCTGACAATGTTGCCCAGCAGGGTCTGGGGAGCACACTGCATCCTGCTGTGCTGCTTAAGCCCATGTCTGCCAACCTGAAAGGCAGAACAGGTGCAACCTGGGAGTGTGTCCATGCCATGGACGAGCCATGATTTGTGCTTGGTTCCTCCATAATTTGGAATATTGGCATTAATCAAGAGGTGCTCATGAACTGGCATTTGGCAATGGGCTGCAATCAATCAGCTGCCGAAAGGACTGGGCTTGGTTCTTTGAAGATATCTGATTATTATTATTATTTTTAAAAAAGCTTGGTCTTATACTCTGATTTTGGAAGCAAAGAATCATAGAACTGTAGAGCTGGAAGGGACCATGAGGACCATCTAGTCCCGCCCTCTACAATGCAGGAATATGTAGCTGTCCCGAATGGGGATCGCACCTGCAACCTTGGCGTTATCGGCACCACGCTTTAACCAACTGAGCTATCCAGGAGCACTGGAGGACATCAAGAGTCCGCATAGAATAGGAAGCAGCACATTGGCCATGAAACTGTGAGAACCTAGTTGAAATTCTGACTCTGCCTTGCCATGCCTGCAGTCTAACCCACCAAATTTTGACTTTGGGAATGGCCGCAGCTCACCAGTAGAGCATCATCTTTGCATGTAGGTCTCAGGCATCTGAAACCCTGGACAACCCTGCAGACAAGACTGAGCTAATGGTCTAACTTAGCATGAGGCAGCTTCCTATGTTCCTATGGCCCACCAAGCTGAATGTGGCCCTGCTAAGCTGGTTAGATGTACTGGATACAGAATGAACAGAATTCATGGGACATAGCTACACAGCGATTCCCCCTCCAGGTTTGGATGCTCTTATTCAGCATACAGAATCTTCACAAACCATATGAAGGCAAGCGGCCTGGCAGGTGAAGCACAGTTCAGAGGGCGCCCCTTCCAGATAATAACGTCTGAGCAAGTATAGACAGGAAAAGGAGAGCCATGAAGTGTTTAGGTCCTAAGCATTGGAGGGCTTTATATCTCAAAACCAGAACGTTGAAGTTGGCTCATTTGCTAGAGGGTACCAGATGTTGTGAGAATTTTCTACTACATATTAGGATGTAAAAACCTAACTCTAATCCAACTGTCTATTTTTTCTTTCCCAGTGTCTTAAGATGTCTTGCAGTCCATTGCTCACAATTTAATGAAAAGAATAGAGAGCACATCTTCTAGTCTCTCAGCTGGCTGGAGAGATTCATGACCTGTTTGGGTGTGTTTTAATTACCCAAATATGTTCATCATCACTAATCAATTCAATTTAATTTAATTGCATTAGCATACAGCCATAGCAAAATAAGACAATACAAAAATGTTGGGGACAAGCAACCAAGCAAAATTCAAAGCGATATTGCTGGCGTAATGACATTTAAAACACCCTAAGACAATAATACAAAGATTTGGTTGCCAGCACCAAAAAACTAGTATGCGGATATAAATAAAGCATAAAATGGCCCCAAAATAGGCTCAGCACATTGAGTTAAAAAGGTAATAAAAGAATTAAACAGGTCCAGGACTAGGGCACACTACCCTGTCAGAGTAGCCCTGAGTTTCAGAGCCTGCACTATGAAGATTGCCACCCCACGTGAAATTTGGGGATTTGCGTCCACAAGAAGTGCTTTCAGACAGTCTTCCTTAGATGAAATGGAGGACGGGATCAAGAGGAGGAGCTTAGGTCTTATTGGGTCATAAATAGGGCAGTAGAAAAGAAATGTATGAAGTCCTCTACTTCATTCATTGTGCATGGACATAGACGCTGAGTAATAGGGGTCTTAGAGTAGGTCCCCTGCAAGAAGGCCGTGGGTATAGAATGAAAACGGGCCATTGTAAACGCTCTTCTCAAATTGGGCTCCGTCAGGTCTATCAAGTAGTTGGCAAGTGATCTTACCACTTTCACTTTAGGGAGCCACATGGAGAGGCGAGCTGAGGTGGACTGTGCCCGGTCCATGGCCTCATCTCTTATAAGAATCCAGTCCCGGATTTTATGTTGGTCCCAAGATGACAACGTGTCGAATTCTGGGAGGGAGTAGCGTACAGTAATAGTCTCCATGGCCTTGGACCATTTGTTGGAGTGAGAACAAGTTAAAAAGGCTTGCCTGGCTAGTAGGGAACCTGGGGCATTGATTAATTTGCAATAAAAACTAATAATTCTAATATGGGCTCTCGCAACAATGGAGGGGAGGCCCAGTTCTGTTCTTAACTGAGCAGCAACCGAGCCCTTGGGGAGACCCAGTATCTTTCGTACAAAAGAGTTTTGTAGAATCTCCAGCCGTTGAAGTGTTTTTAAATTCCACCCCCAGATTTCAACCCCATACAGTAACATCGGGAGGACTTTGCTAATAAATGCTTTTCTGATTGGTGGAACCAACTGGCCGCCTTTTGCATAGAAGAATTTCTCCAAGGCTTTGATGGTTCTACGGGCAGCCAGGATGGTCATATTTAGGTGAGCTGACCAGCTAAGCCCATGCTGAAAAGTGATTCCCAAATACTTGAAAGCTGAGCAATATTCAATAGAGTGGCCCTCAAAGTTCCAGAATGACTTCCGAGTTTTCGTGCCAAAAGTAAGAATTTTGGTTTTGGCGAAATTGATTTTGAGGGAATTGGTATCACAATATGTCATGAGCCCTCTGAGCATGTTGTTTAAGCCCTGCTTGGTTAAAGACAGTATCACCATGTCGTCCGCATAGAGTAATATGGGGATCTTGAGCTGTTGTAGAGAGGGGGCAGATTGATTTAGGGCCTGCATAGTTGTAACGATGTCGTTGATATAGAAATTGAATAGAAAAGGGGCCAAGAGGCAGCCCTGTTTGACCCCTTTATTCAGAGGGAAAGAATCAGAAAGAGCTCCCAGGGGGCCGAATTTTACTCTGGCCGATATGTCATTATGAATTTCCATAAGAAGAAGGAGGAGTCTCTTATCTATGTTGGTGTAACTAAGCTTCTGCCATAGCCTATCTCTGGGAATGGAGTCAAAAGCGGCGGTCAGGTCCACAAAAGCCGCGTGTAGTTTGCAGTTAAACCTGTTTAGGTATTTATCAATCAGGGTAAATAGAACAAGACATTGGCCAGATGTACTGTGACCTTTACGGAAGCCAGCCTGTTCCGGGTGGAATAGCTTTGTTTCTTCTGCCCACTCGATTAATTTCTCTAGCAAGAATCTAGAGTAAACCTTGTATGATATGTCTAGCAGGCTGATGGGTCGATAGTTACGCGGATCTTGTGGGTCCCCCTTTTTATGTATTGGGATGACTATGCTCTGTTTCCAATTTGGCGGGATCTTAAGAGTGGCATTAATAGTGGTAAAGAGAGATGCAAAAATAGGGGCCCACCACATCTGGTTCGATAAGAATACCTCGGGTGGAATCATATCCTCCCCGGGATTTATCCCCTGATAACATGCTAATTAGTTGTACACATCTCTCTGGGGAGACTGGCTCCCAGGTGGGCAAGGGAGATGCAGGAAGAGTGGAAACTGCGTTTACGTCGGAATCTGGGGCAGAATACAGCTGAGCAAAGTGAGAGTGCCAACTGGCTGCTGTGATGTTATTAACGATGAATGAGGGGGGTCTTAAACCTGCATTAATTAAATTCCAGAATTTCTTGTCGTCACGGGTTTTAATGGCCACTGACAATGCCGTCCAGCGTTCTTTCGCAAAGATCAATTTCTTATGTTGGAGCAACTTCTTGTAGTAAGAACGGAATTGGGCTAACTCCCTGATTTTGCTCTGGGTGCTGTCTGATTTCATATCAGACTGAAGAAATCTAAGCCTACTTCTGCACTGTTTGCATTCTTGGTCGAACCAAGTTTGATTCTTCCAGGTTAGACTCGCACGGGAGGGTTTCGTAAGTGTTGGGAGCAAGTAGGCTAGAATTTGTTGGAAACTTGAGAAATGATTCACATTCATTGTTACCAGCTGAGCTTTCAGGGCTAGGATCTCAGGGGAATTTAGGAGGACTTTTATGTCTTGCTCCAAATAGATATCCCACTTCTTACGACCGGGGGCTAAGGTCAGTGAATCCTGGTGGGGAGTGAGCTGGGGAGCCCCAGCTGTGTGTGGTGGAAGGAGATGGCAATAGGAAGGTGGTCACTTTCGGTTCTGTTGAACACATTGAAACAATATGCCTTATCATTAAGTGCCGAAAAGGACCAGATATAATCTATAACGCTTGCCCCTCTAGATCCTAGAAAAGTATAGTATCCCCCGGACCAGTCTTTGGGTGTACCATGCAAGCTGTGCAGCCCGCAGTTAATGGTAAACTCCAACAGTATGATGCCAGCCCTATTAATGGTCTTGTCATGTGAATTCCACGTAGGAAACCACTCCTCTTGTATGAATAGTTGCGACTTATCGGTGAATGAGCTTATATCTGCTCCGATTCTGGCATTAAAGTCCCCCATTATGAGGATCTCTGACTTTGGGAATTCAGCCACAGATTTATCAAGGATAAATCTTAGATCCTCCCAAAACCGATTTGTATGGGAAGAGGAGTAGGTAGATGGATTGTACAAATTAACACATATGAAGTCCCCAACCGGGCTGTTAGTGATGTGCAAAATTTGAATACAATTACTCTCTAACCAAAGGAGAGGAGAGATATTAAGATGAAGCTCCTGCGAAACAAATGTTACCAGGCCTCCACTAGGGCGCCCATACAAATGTGTTTTGGTCGCAGGAATCACAAAAGCATCATAGCCCAATAGGGAAGGGGGGGGTGACGATTCTAAGCACCAGGTCTCTTGTATACCCATAATCTGGAATTTCGCTAAAAACTCTATCATATCCCCGCCATCCTGTTTGGACGTCCATCCCGCCACGTTCCAGGATAGCACATTGAAGCAGTTTGGGGAGGGACTATGTGCTAGTCAGATACTCTGGTTGCTGGTGGAAGAAGCATTGCCAAGGGTCTGAGACCGCGCCAGGCGTGATACAGCCGAAGGTATCGAAGGGGTGGTAATTTGATTGATGTGGCCAGCAGGGTCTTCAATAAAGCCTGAGCTGTCTCTTTGCACAGTGGCTTCCTTAACGTTTATATGTTGGCTTGAAGAGGTTACGGATACAAGAGGATCTACCAAGCGAGGTTGACTGACAGAGGACGAGGATATACAGTCATCTGCCTGGACCGCACTGAATGAGGACTCCAGGTCAGGCATGGAAGAATAGGACATTGACAGATTACCTGGATGAATGGTGTTTGGCATATTGCTCTTTAAGGCGAGGGACGAGGTAGTTGATTGCAAATCTATTAGTAGAGGTGAAGAGGATCTGCGTTGCGACGGTGTATGAGGAGCTTCCGCCAGGCAGACTGCCATATCATCCGTTATTGGAGTCCCAGTGATTGGCAGGGGTTTCTGGGGTGTTAGCCCCTTCATGACTGCGTTCCTTTGATTTAATAGGTTGCTATGACCAGGTTTTGAAGAGATTTTCTCTTGAAGTACATGTGTAAGTTGCTGCTTGAGTGTATCAAGCCTGTTTATAACTTCCTGCTGTTCTACTAATGGCAACTCGCCGTAGGATGAAATAAGGTCCCTCTCCTCTGAGGAAGCCAGATGACTGGGTCCGCTTTGGTCATGCTTCTCTGTTGCTGGAGTAGATAAACCAGGAAGCTTGGGCTGAGAGGGAGGGTGAGGTTCCTGGGTGGACGGCTTGAGTTTCAAGACTATGTCGCGCCTGTCTGGCGAGCGGATACCTTTTTGTACGATGCTACGGAAAAGAGGTTTAGTCCTGGTGTCATTAAAGACTCTCGTTGGGAAGATGCCCCAGGAGGCCAATAACGCTTTGCGCCTAACCAGTATGGAGGGAATTTTTGGTGACTGGAAGGAGAGCAGTACTTTTTGGAACCGATGGTGGTAGTATAAAAGTTTCACTGTACTGAGATCTATTAGCGGAGGCCTAATCTGAAGGAGTTGCCTTAGATGATCTTTGACCTCTCTCGGGTTAATCCACCTTGGGGACCTGGGGTCACTGCTGCGTATAGTTAGACATATTTTGTTTGGTTGTAAGATCAGAGATTGAAAGTCCAGTTGAGATTTTAGGAGATGAACACCAGTACCACTTTCATGTCTAACAGGGGAGGTACACCACTGTCTCTTTAAATCCCTCGGAGGCAGAGTGAGGTTGTGCTGCAGCTCCAGCAAATGGGCCTCAAGCTTTTGGTGGAGATTATTCACCTGCATGGAGATCCCATTTATGCTCTTAAAGATGCAGTGCAGGGTCCTGGTTATTAATTGGAAGTGCTCGAATCCCAAACCATCGCCCAGGGCCAACTCGGACTCCCCCCTTCGAGGTGACTCTCACTTCTTTGTCATTATCATTAGCATTTTTCGTTGCCTTCGAGTTCACCCCCTCCACTTCTATATCGGGTACGAGGTCAATTAAAGGATTAAAACGATTGTGAGTTTCAACCGTGTAGCTATCTTCCTTGTTATTTCTGCTACAGTTAAGAAAGAAGGAATCAATCTTAGACTGTTTGGGCCTCGGGGGAGGCATTGCCTCATCCAGGTCCCTTGGCCGCTTGCCATGGCCCATAGTGGAGATTAGGAGAGATATCCGCAATAATTGGAATTGTCTTAATGCACCTTAGAGAGTATTGCGGGAGGCAGAGGAGTGGTGAGCGAAGAAAAATAAGATAAAGTTCGTTGCTTACTTACAATTCTCAATCAATTGTCCACAAGTACATGAAGATACAATCCTAATTTGAAGTGTTCAAGGAAGTTCTGGTGAAGGCTTCTCTGCCTTCCTCCCAGGGAGCGACAATTGTAGCCAGTAGACAAAACTGCAAGTCAGTCACAGAGGCAGGCTTCAACGGGCGTCCATTGTTGGGGTAAATCAGGTTGAGCAGTAAAACAATAAAACAATAAACTAAAAACAAGGAGAGGTGGTAAGGCAGCCAGGAAGACGTTAAAAATGTGAGATTAGAATCAGGATGTGGCTAAAACTACTTAAAAACTACTTAAAAACTGCTTAAAAGCTTAACTGAAGGCAGGAGCTCTAACTATGCTGCTGTCTCAGTCGCCATCTTGGATTCGAGGTCTACCCAAATATTATATTTGTGAGGTTTATATTAATTGATTTTATTCTAATACAAATTAAAATGGGAGCCTATCCATATATATATCTACACTCTCTTAAATCAACTACTTTATGAAGGCTACCAACTACGATGCAAAGTGTAGTCCTGTCAATGTCTTCTCAGAAGTAAGCTCATTGAGTTGAACAGAACCTACACCCAGATTAATGTGCATTGGATTGCAGCGTCAGTGCCTATGTCTCTGCTTTGTTGCTGCATGGACTAAGCAGGTTTTGCTTACTTCAAAGGCAGAGAACAGGTGGAATGGAACAGGCTACAGTCCAGTCCACCTCGGCTGACAAAAGCCAGCTGCACCTGACCTCAGGACCGTAGTTGGCCAAAGAAAGTTGTGGCCAATTTTTTTAATCCCAGAATGCTGCCTTGTCCAGTTTGGTCATCTTTCTTGGGTAAGGCCTTGCTCCCTGGGGAAGGGTCACTGTGGGTGGGTCCGTAACAACAACACACATGTTCTAAGGTGTTATGGATTTGTTAAAGTTGGTGTTTGTGTGAACACAGTCTGTTTTATGGAATTAGGTTGTGTATCACACACATTTGCTTTAAAAGACAAATGACAGCTAAAAAATTACTGGAAGTGGCTGTTTTGCAGCAGCCTTACTTACGTTGGCGTGTCAAGTCTCTTCCACATATACCCAGAATATAAGCCATTGTTCTCCGAATGAAGCAAAGCTTCCTTGAGTTATTTCTGTCTCAGTGGTGCTTTGTGCATTCTTGTGCTATGGGAAATCTCTGACAAGAACTTGTCGCCTTCCACAGTGCTTCTCAAATGTTCTAGTGCTCTCTTGTGCTTGCTTCAGTATCTGCAGGATCTTGATCTTTTAAAATTCAGGCCTTGGGCTAATTTACATCTGATGCCCTTTTAAATGTGTGGTGGGGGGTGGGGGGTTATTGGGTTGTCTTTGTATTTTTTATTTTTTCTTATGTATTTCTGTGTTTTTTTATATTGTAATTCTATGTTGTGAACTGCCCTGAGATTTACAGGTATTGGGCGGTATACCAATATAATAATAATAATAATAATAATAATAATAATAATAATAGTAATAATAATAGACAAAGATGCCTGTGAAATGGAACATTTTGGAATGATTTGTTATCAGAGCAGAATCAATGGGGGAGATTAATTTTGACTGCCAAAAATAAATAAATTATTGCTCTTCCTCTCTCTTTATATAAAAACGCTTTCTAACATTACATAAGAACACCTTCTGAGAAGGCTAGATTTCTCTTATCACTTACAAGGCATTGTATTCAAGGAAGCCATTTTGTGTGCAGAACACCTTCTGCTCACAAAGCAGAACCTCCCTTCCCTCTCCTCACACTGTGCACCCCACCAAACCTCCCAGAGCAGATTTGGGGGAGTGCAAGGTATGTGAGCGTAGAGGAGAGGGAAGGGAATATACAATAAATAACTATTTCAAAGAGAAGGGAAATGTACAAAATGTACAAAAAGACACCAAGAGATGAACAGGAAATTAAATGAGGAAAATAGTGAAGAGGGGAGAGAACAATGCAAATCTAAGGTGGCAAAGGGGATTTGCAAGACAACATGGAGCCACAAACTGCACAAAGTGAATAAGATCAGGTGGGGAGGGGTCCCCAGATTTCAATTGTTCTTTTATAGCTCAGCTGGTTGGAGCATGGTGCTGATTATGCCAAAGTTGCAGGTTCAATCCCTGTATGGGATGGTTGCATACTCCTGCATTGTAGGAGATTGGACTATGTGATCCTCACGGTTCCTTCCAACTCTACAATTCAATGATTCAATGATTCTCCTGCCAAAACAGAACCACACCCCAGTCTCTGTGCTTTCTCCATGTGCTTCCTTGCCATTTATATAGCTCTAAGTAAGTCATCTTAGAACACTTGTCCTCATGGTTATCTCTGATTTTGTAGCACAAGAGTTTGCGAGGATTTTCAACGGCTCCACCTCATTTCCCAAACATAGGAAATAGCTGCAAGAGCAGTGCGGCTAACCTCCCGGGCTTTAACATAGTCGAAGCCCCTAGGTACCAGCAGGTTACAGGAAGCTGCCTTCTACAGAGTCAGAACATCAAGGCCAGGATTACCTACATTCTTCAGAGTTAATGGAGCATCTTAGCCACTGCCACATACACAGCCCTGCCATTCACACAGACCAGGGCAGGTGGTGAAGAAAAGCCTCTTTGCTGTGCCAGCTGGATCCAAGCAGGGCTGAGCGGAGGGATACTACCACCTGGTAGTGGATTGAATGTTTCAATCATTCTGCCTGTCATACACGGCCCATAGGCTTTGACATGAGTAAGTCTGGATCGAACCCAGAGTTCAGGCAGGTTGAAGGCGCAAGGTGTCTGAGACTTAGTAGGTCAAGGCCATGATTTAGGTGAGAGACTAAGAACAAGTATGCTGCTCTGATGCTTCCAAGAGAAGTGAAAGAGACAAATTAATTCATTACACTGCTTACACACTTCTGACTTGACATTAGTACAGCCATTAAGCAATTAGGCAGAGAGAGCCGAGAATCCCAAGATGCAGATGTATAACACAGGAATGTCATAAATAAAAGCCACTTTCCTGAATGAAAGACTAATTTATTTCAGCACTGATTTTTATGCCTAATCCTAACCCTTATCTATCATAGCCCTGAAGCTATAAACCTGTACATTCCAGAAGCAAGAATGTTTGAAATGCTGCAAGATCTAAACATCTGCTCTGAGTTTATTGCAGATTGCAGAGCAGTAAAACCTATAATCTTAAGAAGTTAGCAGCAGAAAATGAAAAAACAACAACAACCCTCCTCTGTGTTGTGTTCACAGATGGTACTGAAGAGTGTTTCTGGGATGACATGGGAGCATTAATGATTTGAAATTAAACAATGCTAATAAATGAACCAGCCATGTAACCAGTGTTAGAACCTGAGATATGAAAGCCAGGAGCTAAATGGCACCTTAAACTTATGGGCACAACAATGGAATGTCTAGGCACACTTTTTATAACAAGAACACAAAGTTGAAAATGAATAACTGCAGCTAAAACATTATGTTCATTTTTCACATGGTCTAGTCTTTCCCCTGCTCACCTCCCCCTAATATTCTTAAGAGGGTCTCTTCTCCAGTCTTCAAAGAGTAGCTGGAAGTGGGGAGGCAGAAAAACCTCCTCCTTTCCTTCCACTCTGCAATTTTAATATGAAATCTTAGGTGCAGTACTGCACCCAGAGCTCAGAAACTGCTCGCCCTAATGAAATTCCCTGTCGCAAAATGTGCTTAGAACAATGGGAGTTTCGAAAACTGCATGTAACATTCCCATCTTCTTCAATTTATTTAGCTTTACTGATAAATTCTGTATTCATGTGAGATTGCAGATATTGTACTATTGTGATATACAGTAGTTTGAGATTTGTTTGCATCTGGTAATCTGGCAATCACAAGAATTTAACGATGGAAAGTTTGTATCCATATGAAATCAGAACCAGGTAACATCAGTAGAAATTAACTCAGACCAAAATTTAATTATGTGCAACTGCATAAACCTGAAATTCTGAATTCTGCAGGGAGATCACAACATTCTCCTTTAGAAATGTGTCTGTATATTTAACAGATGTTAAAATAAAATGGGATTAAACAAATTGGAATAAAACGATATAAAACCAGAATGAATAAAAGTAGGAACAAACTTAAATTTTTTACTCTCTCTGACAAGACACAGCATTGTCTCAAACATTTCCCCTTGTTGTAAATCACTACAGGAAAGGATGCTCATCCCTGTGCTTAAATTTACCCAGTAATATTTAGAAGTCATCTGTTCATCAACTTGACTAACAGGCAGAGAGACAGGCTATGGAGATGCCTTGAGGCCCCTCCTTCACTTAACCACAGCCATGTATAGCAGCGAAATATCTGAAAATGACTAAGGTTGCTGAGGAGGTGTCTTCTTCAGTCCATACTCCAGTCTTTCAGCCAAGCTAAACTTTCTGGAAATGTACTGAATGCGCTATTAACACGACAGTGGCAATTGAAACTAGGCTGAGTATGTCTTTGTTGGGCTCTCAAAAGAGTCTAGGCCACAAATATGAATATTGCAATCACAATGTTCTTTTAGAACTTGCTGAAGAACAATGCAGGCAGCCTCATAAAAGCCTACAGAATATAAACTACCTGAAAGTGATGTTCAATGGACACTGCAAAAACTCTGTGTTAAAAGTACCTGGGGGGAAATAGAAGCTGGATAGATTTATAATGTGATCTCCTAAAGCCATCTATTTCAAGTACACTACAGTTAATGCAATGGAGCGCTGATGAGGTATCTGTACCATAAGAGAGCAACAAACACAAATAATAATAATAATAGTAATTAGGAAGCAGGGAAGGTTGGCTGGCAACTGGAGACACTGAGAGGCACACACAGACACACACACACACACACGTGTTTTTCAGCAGTTGGCTAATGGTGTAAATTTCCTTTTCCAGAGGAAATTATTATTACTACTATTTATTAAATTATACAAACTCTGCAGATCTCAGGGAGGTTCACAACATAAAATTAGAATATACAAACCACAAAATCCATAGTAAAATTAACAACAAACCAGTAACCCTGCCACAATACATTTAAAGGGGCATTGGGTGTTAATCAGACCAAGGCCTGGCTGAAGAGGAATGTTCAGCTACCAGCACTAATAGAACTACAAATACCACGTGGACTGCTAAGTTTCTTTAAGGGGGATGGGACTAGGGGAACCAGCAAAGGTCTTCAGTGAATGCAGTGTGAGACAAAGCTGGACTAATTCTAGGGGATGGCTCCTGGTTTGATGAAAAACTTCCATAGTAGGAAGGTGTTTGCCTTTCTTCACTGGACTGCCCACCTGCTCCATCTCACCTGCTGCAGGTGAGCTATGGTGCTTCACTGGCACAAGGGTCAACTTCAAGGCACTCTCATAAGGGAGTGTCGGATCTGAGGCCTGGATGTTAGTAATCGCCACGCCTTGCGTGACCCGGCAGGTAAAAAGGGGATAATTCTGTCAAATTAATCTACAATTATATCCTAAAGGAAATTATTTCACAATGCTGGGGACACTTATTTTTGAAATCACTATATAATTCTTTTTAGGCTGTTAACTCATTTATATGCTGCAATTCATCATCCTTCTCCCTTGCCACCATATGCCTGGTGGAATTCTAAAGCACACCCTTTACCTCAATTCTGAACTAAGCTTTTATCTGCAGGTCAGTTCCATCCCTGTCATAAGCTCATTATTTTCCACAGTCATCTCAGAGTAAAAAAAGGAAATAACAAGGCTTCCATGTTTGCCATGCTAACAAAGAAAAAAGCGATTGGTTCTCTACCTTTCTTATTCCAAGTATGAAGACGTTAGCATGTCAATTAAATTTCTAATTTATTTTTTTCAAAATTACAGCAATTACTATATAATGGATGAAAGATTTCCTAGCATTAAAAAAATGATTTTTCTATTGCACCAGCAGCATGCACCCTGAAGTGAAATGTTTGCTCAACATGAACATAATTTCCTGATGCTATCCTTTTCTCATTGCAGCAGGGACGAGGAACCTGTGGCTCACCAGCTGTTGCTGAACGACACTACCCATTATCTTATTTAACATTCTTTCAAAACCACTGAGCATTTAAATAATCTCCAAGCAGTGCATAACATTATTATAAAATATACAATATAAAACCACCAATATAAAACCCGTAACATTAAAAGCAGCTTCAGAAAATACAAAGCTTCAACACAAATAACCGGGGAAGGCCAGAGCAAAAATAGAAGTCTTTAGATGATGTGTAAACAGATGGTGCCTCCTGTACAGCAGGGGGCAGTAGCGGATGGCAAGGTGGGCGGAGGCGCTTTCCTGACCTCCCAGCAGGTGAGTTGCTGTTACTTACCAAGGTTTAGAGAGGTGAGGTGGCAGGGAGGGCAGCACAGTGCAGAAGCTTTAGCAGGGGAACAGATTGGCTCTGCTTGGTGCGTTTGCACCTTGCTGACCTTGCCACCACCTTTCCTCCTCCCTTCCAGTAAGCAGCAGCAATTCACCTGCCTCCACCCCACCATACCACCTCCTATCAGCAATAGGAAAGATACCCCAAGGAATAGGTACAGCAGTCGAAAATGCGCCTTTCTAGGTCACCGCTATACAATAATCTGCAGGTTGTAATGCCACTAATGCTCCTCACAACAGAGGTTACCTGAGTCTCTAGAGACAATGATGACTCTAGTAGCACCTCTAAACTATACACTTGTTCTTGCACAGGGAGTGTAAATCCATGCAGAACAGGCAAGTTCCGGGAACCACTTTTCGCTTAGCCTGTCTTATTCAATTTCAGTTTAATGGCCCTTATCCAGACCACCATTGCATCCAGGCCCCAGTTGAGAACAGGCAGAGCTTCTGCTGGTGTAATGGAGAATTAAAGCCACATGTTATCAGCATACTGGTGACACCACACCCCAAATCTCCCAATGGCTTCCAATAGATATTAAATAGCATAATTCCTGATTTACTGGTCATGGTGGCCAGGACTGATGAGAATCCAGCACCATCTGAATGGCTACACTTTCTTCCTTCTTGCTTTACTATGTAAATATCTTCCTTAAAATCCTATAATCAAATAAAAGTAACTGATCAGCAAGTGTGTTACATTACAGAAGCTTATGGGCTTGTATCCAATACTGCACTAAGTAAGTGTTGCACCAATG